ATATTATTGTTATAGAATCTTCTTTCTTATCAAGATGTTATGAATGCCATTGAACGTGATTATCATCTACATGAAGGACAAGAACGTGAAATAATTATGAAATTATGGTTAAAAGGACAAACAATAATTGCAATTTTACAACGTTTTAGATATTTATTACAAGATCTTAATATAGATGATAAAGATTTTTCTGAAGGATTAAAAGTTTGTATAATTTATATTCACAATAATTTATTCAATATTTACAAAAAAAATTCTGTTAATACATATTTAACTATTGTTTATTCAAAATATGATTTAGATTTTTTTCTGCTACATAAAACATATTCATATTTTCTTAAACAAAAAAAAAGGGTTATAACTAATATGTTTTTATGTATTCGAAATACATATATAGATATTTTTTTTGTTGTACTGTTATTCTGAAGTATGTGTATGGGAATGAGATTTAATTTCTACATATTGTTATTGCATTCTTTAAACACTTGTAAGATATCTTTCTCAGACGGCTATTCTATTTATATGTAATAAGTATCTTGTTGATATTTTTTTCTTTTTGATCTAGAGATCGATTACATTTGAATTTTTTTTTTGTTTTTATTTAGCAAATACGTGAAAAACTAAATTATGCTCATCGTGATGTATATTATCTTCAAGAAAAAAATCTTATACTTGAAAATCAAAATAATTTTCTTGAAAATGAATTTAAACGACAATTAGATAAAATAGTTGAAGAAAAAAATGAACATATTGATCGACTAATACATATTATTGATCAAACATATACACGATCAACTCAAATAAATAATCATATTAATGATGAATATTATTCATCAAGTAAATAAATAAATAAATTTGATTATATTCTAAAAGTTAAAATAATAGACATCAAATATTTTATTAGTAGAAAAAAAAATCTAGTGATCATATTTTTTTTTTGCTTTCGTATGAAACCTTTTTACTATTCAACAAAATGGATTCTATATGTAATTGAGAATAAGAATAAGAATAAGTATATTTTATGTATACGTTATAATAATGAAAAATTCAAAGTCTCATCTAAATCTAAATTTTAATCAAGGTATGAATGAAGTATACTTTTACATATCTCATTATACAAAATAAACTAACCTTGTGATTACTATTGATCAAGGTAATTTCGATTAATTGGAGAATTTTTCCTACAGTTAACAAACTTCAAATATAATCAAATTATAACAATAGAAACAAGGCTAATTTGATATCGAATTTTGTTTTTTTTTCGATTAGTAAATTCTTTATTAGAGCTCATCGGATTAATTTCGAACTCGAGATTTTTACTATTGTTTGATTCTGTCATTACATTTCAAAATATATTTTGTAAACTTTTTTTATAATTGTTAAAAACAAAATTTCTCTTTTTTCATTCTATTGTTTATAGTTTTGATTGGAATATGTAAAATATCTATATATTTGATTTCTTATAGTCATATATATAGTAGCAGTAAGATTAAATCTAAAAACCTATTGCAGATTTGAAGTAAATGTTATAATAAACGTTAAGATTAATCACAAAATAAAAATTCAATTTCTTTTTTACAAAAATTATGCTTCTGCATAAGAACATGCATCAATTAGTTAAATTCCCGTATTTAGAATTTTGTTTAAGAATAAAGCAATGAAATAAAATAGGTTAAATATGAGTCAAAACTGTACAACATTTATTAATGTCCGTTTCAGAGTTAAATGGCCATGGGCATTTTTTGAATAACTTTTGATAGGAACGAGATAGAAATCTCCAATTTTCACCGTTGGAAAGAACAGATGAAGTCGCATAACTATTTTCCTATAGGTTTAGTCAAAAGTTTTCAAAGAGTTGCTTTTTTCTCCTATCTTAAAAAAGTGGCTTTTCTATCAAAATACGACAAAAATTTACATTTTTCGATTATTTTGTTGAAAAAAAATGAGGTGGTAAATTGTGTTCCGATGGTTTACATATCATACTGGTAGTAGTTAGGAACAGCGTCTTGATATAGTTTTGTAGCTCTTTCTTTGGCCATTCTAGAGCACTCTTGAAAATCAACAAGTTGATATCATGACCATGAGAAGCATGCTGTTTTTCTTGAAGTTTTATATAAAACCTATAGGAAAGTAGTTAGAAAAATCTTTCTATATATAATTCGATGTGTCTTCATCTGCTCTTTCCAACGGTGAAAACCGGAGATCTCTAACTCGTTCCTATCAAAAGTTATTCAAAAAATGCTCACGTCCATTTAACTCTGAAATGGACATTACTATCCGTTTCAAAATATAAGGCGCGCGATTGTGAATTGAATAACTCGAGAACGCAAATAGCTAGCGACCTGCGGTTTTCACCATTAGAAAGAGGACACTGGGGCACGTAAATATATGGAAAAAATTTGATTGGTCAGCAATTGACCAATAGGGTAAGCGTTCGTTGAACATTTTGAAGACAGCGTTCGGAACGCTTTTTTCATTTGATTTTGAACTTCAATTAAACCATTCGATAGAAAAAATAGTTCTCTTTCGATCTACGCAAGGCCGAGCTCGATAGCTTGCTCCTCTCAGGAGCTATAAGCATTTTCCTGAGACCCCCGAAATCAGCCAGGTGAGGTTCAGTCACCCTTAAATGGGTCACATTCTAGGTAATCGACGATGCTGAGTCCAGTAGTGATGTTTGTTTTTCGTTTCAAAGTAATCTGAGACCACTATATCGAGATTTTTGGAAATCTAACTCTTGCTGCTATGTGGCGCAGACAACAGATATATGGAAAATCTCGATATAGTGGTCTCAGATTACTTTGAAACGAAAAACAAACATCACTACTGGACTCAGCATCGTCGATTACCTAGAATGTGACCCATTTAAGGGTGACTGAACCTCACCTGGCTGATTTCGGGGGTCTCAGGAAAATGCTTATAGCTCCTGAGAGGAGCAAGCTATCGAGCTCGGCCTTGCGTAGATCGAAAGAGAACTATTTTTTCTATCGAATGGTTTAATTGAAGTTCAAAATCAAATGAAAAAAGCGTTCCGAACGCTGTCTTCAAAATGTTCAACGAACGCTTACCCTATTGGTCAATTGCTGACCAATCAAATTTTTCCATATATTTACGTGCCCCAGTGTCCTCTTTCTAATGGTGAAAACCGCAGGTCGCTAGCTATTTGCGTTCTCGAGTTATTCAATTCACAATCGCGCGCCTTATATTTTGAAACGGATAGTAGTTCCTGAATGAGGATATATTATTGCATTTTTTCATTGTTGTTAGAGCAGCTGACGGTAGTACTTTTCCTGTTACTGATTGTTTCCTTAATGTGTTGTTCTTCTTTCCACGCTCTAATTTCTCTTATTTGTCGAGCACAATTTTCTCTTGCATCAGCTGCTGGAAACTGTAGCTTGGCTAATTTTTGTAGTCTCATATTTTGTACAGCATGATAAAGTTGTTTGTTTTTTCGAATTCCATGAGTGGTTAATGAAAGTAAATTACTTAAAATCTCTTGTAATTTTTGGCGTTGTTTTGCTTTATTTGTACAGCCATACCAAGGAAAAGAGATACAAAGTTTACTGTCAATGTATTCATATAATGATTGAATTAGTAAATATAACCAATTATTTTGATCTTCTCCGTGATTTCTTATTCTAGTAATATTTTCTACTTTGCCAATTACATTAGCTGCTTGATTTACTATTCGTTTTGATGAGTGAAATTCTAGAGATCCTCGGTTATATTCGCGCTCAATAGTAGACATAGCCAAACCAACTAAAATCTCGTTGAAAGTGAATTCAGTTGAATCTGATACAAATATGCATCTCGCTAATTTGAATTTTTCACTGATCATCATAAGAGATTTTTCAAATCCTTGATAAAATAATATCGCGCACAATAATCTACCAAACTGTGAATTCAGATGAATTCCATCTTGAATGATACCTTCCTCAATCTGTGATATGTTATTCATTTCATTAATACCAATTTCATATTCATGGGAAGAAACAAGTACACTCTGTTGATTTGTGTTCAATCGAGCTTGAAATTTGAAAGGTAAATGAGTATTGGTTAACAAAGGAGACTCACTATTGACCAAAATTAATCGATTACCGACTTGGAAGTCCAAAGTGGATTTATACACATATTTTTTACCGTAAACAACTGTCATACAATCTTGGAAACGTGCATCTGTTGTATCATCGTAGACTACTTGATATAAAAACTTATGATCTTCTTGTTTTTCATAATTTGTTCTAAGTTCGTTGGCCATCACATTCAATTTCTTAGCATCAGGCTGTCTGCATACAAAGCCTGACCAAAGATGATCGGAAACTTCACATTTAATTTTCTGTTTGTTATCAATAAATTGCAAATTGTTGTAATCGAATAGAGCAAAATCAAAATCATTCGGAAGACAAGTACCAATACAAATAAAACCAGCATTTTCGGAAGAATTCATATGCTCTAAAAATAATTGGGACTTGATTATATTGAATGTTGATTTAGGATTTAAATAAATAAAAATAATCAAACTTGCTGTATGTAACCATTGTATCTGTGGATGATAAACTGAGCCATATCGTTCAATATCCCACATTTGACTTGAATATTTAAATAATTGAAATAATTTCTGGTATGCAAGGTATTCAAGTCGATTAGTTTGAGAATTCGTAACTAGAAGTACATCAGTTTTAATATTTGGATTAAATTCCGGTACAACCCGAATGCTATCTGTACGTTTTTCAATTAGTGTATTACGTAAAAGTAGATCGATATTCCAAAATAAACTTTCATAAAGTTGATGAGAAGCGTCTGCACCTAAACTAAACTCAAAATAAATAGTCTTTGTGGATTTAGGTGACAGTTTTTCATTGATTTTATAGCGGCCTTGCCCATTAGGCATTATTTGGTACAAATATTCTGTAGTGGCAGGTAAAACTTTTATTAAAGAATGAGCATAGAATATAAATTCTATGGAACCAGCTGAATCCGAGCATGTACCGTATGGTCGTGTAGAAATGTTAGCGAAACTTATTGTTATGATGGCTCGCTCATTGGGACCCAGAAATGTTGGGATTTGAATATTTGTAATTTGAATCGGATATTGACAGGTTAAAGTAGTTGAAACTTGACTACATGTGAATAAACGATTTAATAAATTTATTTCTGATGCTATTTTTACAGGTTGAATGTACGGTTGATTGATTGAAACATTTGAAACGGCATTCAGATGACATCTAAATTGATGAGAGTCAAGGAATATTTGATTGATACGAGCGTCCGTCAATACACTAACATTTTTGATATCATTAGAAATATATTTTGTAGATGGAAATGATAATATAGATCCACTGGGCAAGGACATTGCACCTTTATTTGTCCATTTCACATTCGTAATAAAAAAATCTGAGTTGGGCTCGTAGATTTCGTCATTGTTTTCATCAGTAATAGTGTAACCAAGAACGCTAGCATGGTATTTATCACTCCCTTTTTCAATAACGTTACCATCTATATTCACTACAGCATATTGAATTAAACCATCGCTTGCAGCATCACCATCCTTACCAGTGGGACCGTCACCACCTGCATAACCATAGCTGCCACGCTTACCGGCAGCACCATCTGCACCATCTGCGCCATCTGCACCATCTGCACCATCAGAGCCGCCTGGCCCGCCTGGTCCGCCTCTACCACCCTTACCACCCTTACCACCATCTCCACCTCGACCGCCGACGCCGTACGAGCCGCCTTTTCCACCATGACCACCTTTACCTTTCACTCCAGCTCGGCAGTCTAGTTCAATTAACATCAATAATCGAGGATCTGCACTTAGAACCCAGACATGGCCACCAGCACCTGCATTTCCTCCATCTCCTCCGGATCCACCATTGCCGCCATTACCTCCACAGCCACCATTTCCTCCCGGTCCACCAGAGCCCCCTCTTTTACCAGAAGCACCTTGGTTGTAAGATTTGGAGCCGTCTTTTCCATCACAACCACGATCGCCATTGCCTCCGGAGCCTCCATTTCCGCCATTTCCTCCAACGCCTCCATCGCCCCCATGGCCTCCGACAGCCTGCAACAAAATGATTTCCTTCGAGTTTGCTAATTTAAAATCATAATTGACATCATGAAGGGAATGAGTGAGATTTCGGTCGATACCAAAGGACTGTTCTGATAAGTCATGTGATGTTTTACATATTTTTAGTTGCATATTTAAGTTTTCCACTGTTCCGTTTAATCGAATTAACGCGTGCCGAGAATCTGTACCCGATTGGCCTGGTTCACCGGCAGATCCATCCTTACCAGCACCACCTCTACCACCGTTTCGACCGTTTGACCCATCTTGCCCAGATATTCCGGATTCACCATCACTACCAGGATTGCCATTTTTACCTGACTGGCCGCTAATAGAAATTCTCTCATGTACAAGCTTCATTAAAGCCCGCTTACTAACATTATGAACATCGAAACCAAAATTCGGTATAGGAACTTCTGTCAGTGTACTCATTAGATCACGTGATCTAAAATAAATTTGACATTGTGTGTTTCAGTTAGAAAATGAATCATTGATCGCTTATATGTATCAGGTAGGCTTGAGCTTCAGAAAAAATGAAAGTGTAGCTTCTCAAAAGAGGTACCTTTGCGAATAAGACTTAGCTACTTAATAACTAAGTAGCTGATTGTTTTGTAACAAGTTTTCTTCTTACGCACTATTTCATGCAACTAGCTATTTAAAATCTGGCGTTTATTTCAACATGACTACAACTATTTAAATATGATCACAGCCATTTAAAAGATTTTATAGGTATACAGACAAGGGGCGTGGATATGGGGTGCGGATGGGGCGTGTGGATGGGGTCTGTCTTATATTTTCATCTATACTACACCCACATCCACGCTCACACTCTATTTCGACAAGGACTCTGTTTGTTGAAAACTAGCTGATGGCATTAGATCATACAGGATGGCCCATAAGTAATGTAACACAGAACTTTTTCGATTTCTTTCTTACACATAATCAGTTAGAGCTCAAATTTATACCAAAAATACGTCTTTGATTACATAACTTACTTTGGAAGTTTCAGCCCAATAGACCGAGATTTTGTTGAGAAGAGTACAAATATGTTCCATGTACTTGAGCAGCCCTGAACCAAAATTTGCTGTTTTTCAGCTCAGTTTTCTTTTTTTTCCAAAACAAGCAATAGTTGCACAGTATTCCAGTCCGAATTTTGTTGGAATCTGGGCCATGGGATTCCGACAAAAATCCGACAGGATACGGACGCAATTAGTTGAATCTGACGGAATTCGAACGAGCGAGAATCATCTGAGTTGTTCTCGGTTACAGCAGCTTTTGATGAATGAATCTGCTTCTGTAGGTTTCTTCTAGGCGTCGTGCGAATAATTAATTCAATTCAAAACGCTTTGAATAGTACTAACGACATTAGAAACACCTAGTTTAGGTGACAAAAGTTGATATTATTGAGAACAAAAAAAAAGAACACTAACCTGAAAAACAGCAAATTTTGGTTCAGGGCTGCTCAAATATATGTAACATATTTGTACTCTTCTCAACAAAATCTCGGTCTATTGGGCTGAAACTTCCAAAGTAAGTTATGTAATCAAAGATGTATTTTTGGTATAAATTTGAGCTCTAACTGATTATGTGTAAGAAAGAAATCGAAAAAGTTCTGTGTTACATTACTTATGGGCCATCCTGTATGATCTAATGCCATCAGCTAGTTTTCAACAAACATAGTTCTTATCGACATAGTTTTACTTTGATATTAAGTGAAGATCGATCAAATACCACAGAAAAATAAAGCACCATTTTCTCCATCATTACGTAAAAAAAGAAGACTTCTTTGTGCTCACTATAAGAAATTAAGATAGTGAGGACACTACTTTTACATAGACCGAAGTATTTCAACGAAACTATCATTTTACGAACTTATATTAACCACTGGATTGCCAACTTAAGAAAGAAACAACGGTTTTTCAGAGAAATCTTTACAATTAGTCATGGCAAGGCTCTAGCGCATATCAGAATAAAATGATGATGTGAAGGCCTCTCATGCCTAGCATATGCTTTTATGTGAATGTAGATAAAAAAAATATGCGTAATAAATGATTGTGTTAGTTCCTCGCAATGATAAGACGAATGGCGCATTTATGCATCGTCGGTAACCAAAGAGTTAACTTCATTTCTTTTCATGTAGGAGGGTGTGGCTGTGGAATGTGGGTGTTGGTGTGGGTAGGTGGAGATGTGGGTGTAGACCTTATTTATATACATATCCACATCCACAACAACAACACCCACACCCACATTATATGCATTGCTTTGGTACGATTCAGAAAAGCTGACCTTTGAGAGTAGATTAATATTAAAATGGTACTTTTCGTTGGATACAATCTATATTCGCGTAGCAATACAATCTTCTGACGCTCATCTAATACTTACTCATTATCCGCATACGTCAGCAAATGACCTTTTATTTCATGATCGATTTAACTGCATTTTGGATCAAGCAAATCCAACGCCTGATGAGAAAAACCATCCTTTTTTTAGACCAGTAGCTATTCATTTATATATTTAAAGGTTGGGTGTGGGCGCAAGAAAAAAACGACGTACTCTCCTACTTTCAGAGTACATGGAGTCCAGTATAAGTAAACTAGTTGGGAAATAATCGAGTTCAATACTTCCGTACTTTTTGGAGTTGCTGTATTCCCATTGTGCTCCGTGCATTTCGTGGACTCAGGAAGTACAAGAATACATAGCTTCTCTTTATACTCCACATGCTTCAGGAGTTCGTGATGTTCACAAAGTTCATGGAGTCTAGTCGGAGTACATGTACTCTGCAGAGTACGGGAGTACAAGAGTATGCCGTTTTCTCCTTATGTGAGTGATCCCGATGGGAATACTCTTGTAAACAAATCTTTACCCGGATCCTACACACACTATCACATCGAGCCCCACTCACACCCACACCCACACCCACACCCACACCCACACCCACACCCACACCCACACCC